ATAGCTCATATAGGGACTACTATAAGGGTCCATTCTTTCTTCCTAGCTAACCAAAGGCCGGGTGTAGAGCCGGCAGCCACATACAAAACGAGGGGACTGAAAAGGTAGGCGTCCGCGGACTCGACATATGCCTATACAATTGCCGAATACCGGGTCAATCTCCAAGTAATAATAGCAATAATGGTAATACTAACGGGTCAGAATAATAGTAATAGTCGAGTGAACAATAATGACGCTATAATAGCAACAAAAGTAACAATAGTAAGAAAATACTAGTGATCTCAGAAGTTCCCACATTTTGAGAAACTCTAACCCCGCCACCACCCCCTGCCCCACCTGGTTCTGAGGCTTTATTCGGAAGCTCTGAAAAATCAGTGCGATGACGACGAGGTTGTCCACACTCAGGCTCTCCTCTAGCATCTCACTGTTCAGGGCATGAATTAGAGAATAGGGTCACGGTTCAAGGGTTCTCAAATGTGGGGACGAGGTTTCAGGATTCGGGCTAGCAATTTTGTCCTCTGTCTCTCTGCCCACATAGGAGCTATCGTCTAAACTCCTAGTATCCCCCCCAGTACAACACTCCTAAGATACTCCCCTATATACTCCTCCATATGACCCCCCTTGAAGGCGTTTAAACCCTAAACCCTATATAAGCCTCCATATTATCCGCCTTTAAGGAATTCAGACAATTGCTCATATGGAGCATTGCTTCGTTACTGGGGTGGGAAGGGTCACGAAACTGGCAGCTGCCACCTAAGGTTAGATGGGAGGGTAGGTAAGGGTCTAGGGCTTAGGCATTTTAGGGTTTAGGTGCTAGGGGCTAGCTCCAGGCTTGGAAGACCTTGCAGAACGAGCCTTACAACCGTCCAGAAGAAAACTTAACAACGAGCTTCACCATGTGGATTCAAAGCAATGCCGAACTTTGCAAAACGGCTAACCATGAAAGTGCGCGGTGGAAGTCACATTTGCCTCGACGAAGCTTTTAAAAGCGTACAAATCCCACCCAACAATCTGAACCCCCATTTGGTTGTCAGTAGGGTATAAGAAAATGGAATACAACATGGAAACGACCGCGCTGTTCGGGATTATAGGCGCTACTATAGGGATCCATTGCACCATTCCCTACAATAACCCAAGCCCCAAACCCCTATGTAACTTCTATATACACCCTATAGTTTCCATCTTCATTTCCATTATCCCTATATGTGCTATAGTCTAAA